CCCGACAATTAGATTAGACTAATCTGTCAATGTTGATGCACTTAAGAGAAACAGAAAAAATTCCCTGCTTCTTGCAGTTAAAAAGGATTTTGTCCTACATAAGAGCAATTTAAAAGACCCCCGAAGACTAAAACTACATGACTAATAGAAGTTCATGGTCTTAGAACTGTCGAGCTAATGCTTCAATGGTCAGTCAAAACATTCAACCAGAGGGACCGGACCAAGCTAAGGACTTGAGACTCAAAAAAGTTCTCGTTAGGACTTTCGGTCTTTCACATAAACAATTGCCCAAAGACAAGACTAGTTGACGAATTCAATTCCAAGGCACCACAAAGGCTGGGTGCTGGGTTTGTAGAAGTTGCAAGTTTCTGAAAATTAGGATCAATCATTCAAACTTTCAAGGACTATCTTCTTAGATAAATGTGGAGGGAACTAAAAGAGCAATCAAGATATATCTTTATTACCTTGGATTGGGATTTCCTTTCACCACCTTCTGACCATACTTTCTCCATCTATATCCATCATCAAGAATATCAATATCACTAGTGGTTTGAACAACAACTCTAGGTTCTCTCACAGTCCTGCTCCCTGGAGCTGAAATTCCTTCACTTTCACTCTCCGTCTTCCTGCAACATGTATCAGAACATCGGTCAAACATTTAAGACTTACCCTAATCCATAAACACATAAATTAAATCTTAATTTCATTAACACTATCAACTAATTAAGCTTACCATCTTTTAGCATCAGGTTCATCATCATCAAATTCATCTCCACCTGATTTGCTCTTAGAGCTCTGCTCAAAATCATCATCCCCGATCGATATGGATGAATTCTCTGGTGTTGCAACAGAATCCATCTGCCCATTTCCAGTGGAGGCATAGGATTGATCAGGTACATCATTAGATTGAGAACTGTAAGGTTGGATGACAACTGAGCAGGCTGTTGAGGAAGCCGATGATCGTCTAGTAGATTGAGGCTTGGGATGGTTATGGTTTCCTTTATAAACTATTTCAGTTATTTGTCCATCTAAAGATCTCTCAACCTTCTTCTTAGTAGGGCAATTGGGATACGTGCACTTATAATAGCTTCGCGGATTTTCGCTCCCTTTAACTTGCTTCTGCCCATACTTCCTCCAATTGTAACCATCCTCCGACCTTCTCCGTTCACTTAAAGTCTGTGAAGATTGGTTATAGTTGTTATAATCCGACTGAAATCCGCCGTTTCCTTGAGAATTGGCCTGGATGTTGCCAATTTCAGGAGAAAAACTTTGCATAGAAGTGACATCAGATTTTACGGTAGGGTCATCCTGCTTGGCGGGTTCTTGATAGTTCCAAGCTTGCTGCATTTGTCCCTGTAAAATTTGAACCATTTCAGTATTGAAACAAACACAAAAATCTACCGGCGTAAAGCGAGAGGCTTTCAAGCGAAACATGTGAAACTGCTAAAGTACCTCAGGAATTGTGTTGGTCTGTGGCCTAGAGACAGCTGCCTGGGGCTGGAAAGAGAAGTCCTGGTAGTTCTTTTGTTCTTGCTTGATACCCTGCTGCGAATTGTAGGAATTGCTCTTCCAATTGAAGGCTTGAAATGGAAATGACCCTGTCGTTGGAGATGGAAGTACCTGCAGTCCAATTAAAGATGGGAGTTCAGCAGTCATAACTCACATCTAATGTTGGTTCTCTTAAATCAAAGCACGACAAGGTTTTAGTATGATAAAAATTCAAACTTTTCTAGTAATCATATGCAGCAAGGGAAACTCGTCAACACAATTCCCACAATTTTCATTTTCATTTCCTTCATCTATATTCTTGGAATCCAAGCAGCAAGACAAAACGAAAAGGCAACGAGAAGAAGCTGAAAAGTTGAGTTGAAGACACATACGCTAGAACCAGAGAGGAGAACTGGAGAGTCCAAGAGCTCAGTTGGGCTCAAGCCAGGGGGAATAGCAAAGTAAGAAGAAGGAGAAACAGGGGGCGGAGAAATGGGCAGAGAAGGGGGAGGAAGTGACTTAAACTTAGGTACCCCAGACCCCGTTCTCTCAGCAATTCGATCACCAAGTCCTCTGCTTTCTGCTGCCATACCAGTGCTGGTGGCCATGGAGTAGCCATCAGATGCAAGAAGGTCGGTGAAGGAAGTAGTAGACATGAACGAAGTAGGAGAAAATGAGAAATTTGCGGTGTCCAAGGTTCCTGTAGAGGCGGCCATTTGAACAAGAAGGAAGGAAGGGATGATTAGACCAAGAGAGCTGTAGCTTTATATCAAGTCAGGAGGACTGGTTAGAGAAAGAATCTACCACAATGAGACAGGGGGTGAACGTTTACACGTATCTTGCGAGGCAATTCTTGAACCTTAGGCTGAGGTTTTTCCTTTTCTCTTTTTTTTTTTTTTTTTCCTTCCCTTCCTTCCCTCTCTCTCTCTCTCGTTTTGGGGGATTTAGCCTTTTAGGGGTCGTTTTGGGGGGCTAGTGTGAGTAAGGCATCTTCTGCGAAGATCAGCAGATGTTTGACCGTGGAAAAAGAAATACTAGTACATAATAATTTAATAGTATAATAGTATATTTTTTGGTTCAAAACTCGTGGGTTTGACCACGATGGCTTCATCCAGAAATGAGAGAGCGGCGGCTGAGAGTTGGATTTGGAAAGCTAACGCGCTATGTCGCTCTCAATTTGGGTGTATTGTCTCTGTAAAGGATTAGCAACAGAGAATTATTTGATTATTGCTAACAGGAGAGTTCTAGATAAACAAGCATGTAAACGGTAGCCAAAAAAAAAAAAGAGAGTTTGTGAATGTTAGCTAGATTTATCTTACTAAAAAGGGTTAGTCTTTTATACACTGATAATATATACACTAACGGATCTGAATACATATCATATATACAAAATTTGATATTTAAATTCAAATTCAGATGATGTGGCATTCATCCAATCTCGTCAGTATATACACTGATAGTGTAGAAAAAATTAATCCCATTTAAAAACTTTGTGAACAGTAATTAATTAATCGCATCCTGCGTTTTCTCGTTGCTTTGAGAAATTACAGAGAGAGAGGCGCACCATTATTTGTTAATCACTGATTTTGATTCGTAATATCGTGCAGTAATTCTTGCAATGAAATTATGGTTTCAAAACATACATTTAATGTTTGTAGCATGGATTGATCACCAGCTATAGCTATCGAATGCAATAAAAAGTTGTAATACATTTAATAGTAGTGTATTTAATAGTGGTAGTACAGGAAGGAAGAGAACATGTTGGGATTGCACCATTTTTTATGATTTTGTAGTCACTTGGACGAGCCCTCGCGTGAATGGTCCAGCGGTAGCGCCTCTCACCAGTGAATCTTGAGGTCACAAGTTCGAGTCTCCGCTCCGCTGAATTCCTCCCTGTGTCGAAAAAAAAAAAAAAAAAAAAGTAGTCACTTGGACGAATTTGTTCATTGTTTTTGTGAGACAAGAAGGTAACTGGACTCATTTTTCAGTCCAACGTATGCCGTGCGTTTTGTCATGTATATTATTGTTGACTCCAACTCCAACAACAGGTCATTGTAGTGCTTTTCTATCTTTTCTGTTTTCATCTTCACCTCCGACTAATCCGCCACCAGCTGCTGCTGCTGCATCATGCCACGTTAAATTCATTCAATTTTCATTCGTGTGGAAGTGAACAAAGAATTTTCCACACGAATAGATTATAGTTACAGTCACATTATTCAAGAATCTCCCATGTATCCTCCTCCTCCAAACAAAATTCTTGAAACGGCAGCCACGGCCGCCACTTCTCACCTCACATGCATAAATGCTTTGGTGGTTACCCAAAATCCAACAAGAATTGAATCTGCTGCCGCTCATGTTCAATTCAATTTGGTCCAAGATCCACAGCATCTGCATTCTTCTGTATTCTGTTTTTTTTTTTTTTTTTTTGGTTTTTCTGGGCAGCTTCCGTTCTGAATCAGTGATCACCCTGCCCATGCATTGAATCACATCGTGGAAGACGATGTGTCCATGAAAACGCTTGACGTTGAAAACATTGACTTGGGGTGTGGTAATGAAATGCATCGCCCGTGTGATTCTGGAAGATTGAGGCTAATTGATAGTGATCAAACGAATCATAACAACATATTAATGACAAATTCCAGGCGCAAATGGAGCGGTCAGAGGAATAATTTAAAAGGGTGATCAGTCAAAATTTCATTTTTCGCAAGATCTGAACATAAACAAATTTCCAGCTGACTTTTGGAAAAAGCAAGTCAGCAGTCTACCACTCTCCAGTCTCCACTAAAAGTATCTTGTTCCCACTCCCGCTACTTCGAGAAGATAACGTTAGTATAATTTTCAATCTGAAATTGATAAGGTTTACCTTTCAACAAAGGAAATCGATCAAAGTCTATTTTTGAACCCCATTCATGATTCATCAATTCTTTATTGGAGTCACTTCCGCGGACTAGACTCCTGCTCCTCACAACAAGGCTTCCAGGTTTATACATGAATCTGGTGAGTTGGAGAAATGTGCATGGAGTGGAGAATTATTGAACAAACAGCATCCTACATTCAAGGCAACAACTAACTATTGGGTGTTAAAAACTAATAGTGACAAAATTATGGGTTATACATGATGCGACTGGTACCAAGATGCATGCATGCATCTGCATTTAAGAGTAATTATTTGTTTATGTACGGATTTCACAATCAGAAGGATGCAAATTTTAACATTATAAAGACGCTTGGACTTGTGGGCTTTTTTTTTTTTTTTTTTTAAAGATTAATGGGAGTCATTTTCGCAGGGAAAATTATATTGTGGCTTTTTTAAGTTGGGCTTGTATTTGCCCAACTGAAGTTTGAAAGAACAAATCAATATCTGTTAATATATTCTTATTCACTTGATGAATATACAGACCTCAGCGAGTAAAGTCCAAACATATTTGACTTTTGGGTGGTACTCTTTGCCATAGTTCTACTTCCACTCGATCGGTCTAGGATATTTTGAGAGGAGAAAAAGAATATGGTCATGGTCAAATGTTTGAGCAGATTGAATAAGGTCAGATTAGAATTATAGGCAAATCCTATAGGGACGTTCTATTTTCAAATCAAGAAGTTACTCAGTCTCGACACCGCGTTAAATTGCTCAAGACTCAAATCTGAATCAGCAGCAACAAGAATATAGATAGTAGTATGAAATCATCTTTCTGGAACTGGACCCATCGCAGCAACTCAAATGATGCAAGTCTGATGCAGAACATTCTCTTATGTTTTCCCCATTTTGGAACCTGGACAGCAAACAAGCTCTATGACCAATCAATCACTGGCACGGCACATTCAGGTAAATGAACACATCACCAGAATAAAATGTTCTTGTTTTGACTCCTTGATTCAGCTGCAATCTTATCAGCGGCAACAAGGCAACAACTTTCACGATGCAAAATGTTGAATTCTTCACTTATAATCATAGCTGCCATCCCTTCGGATCTATATCCACCTGCTACGTACATAATTTAATGCAAAAATCAGTACAAGTAAGACGATAGTACACATGTTAGAGAGCATCTTGCAAGTATAAGCTTCAACTATCAGAAATATTTCTTTATCTTGCAAAAAAATTTACAGCCAGCAGTACCTTCATTTGATTTTTGCTTGTAAGCTAAGATTATACAAACTAGTTGATTAGCATCATTGTCCAATAAGCGGAAGGGAGGATACAAGAATTTTGCATCAATATACTAGTTTATGCCCCCCCCCCCTCCCCCACCAAAAAAAAAGGTAAATGAATATACAAACAAAAAACAAAACCTAGAATCTGCCAGCCTGCAGATCAATCCTTCACAAGTGACCAGCACACTGAAGAAGGATAGACATATTTGTATGCTTCGTAACTTTTATAGTTGCCATTTTCAGAAGCACAAGAATACTCATCTTTCTTCCAGAAACATCTACAAGTTCCAAGTCTACATCACTAACGGTTAGTTATCAGTTCAACATATTGCAATACTAAAATTGCAGCTTCTACAAACAGGTACAGTTGCAGCTATTGGAAGAAGTGGAAAAGAAAGTTGAAGCATCTTCAGTTTTCGAGTAATACAAGAATCCGGGAAAAGCTTAATTTTTACCAGTTTTCATTGTATAAAAGTAAAAAGTTGGCCCCGGGTTCCGAAGCTGTTTGAAAACTAAGATACAAGATAAGAGAGCGCTAATGAAACCCACAGGGTTTTGGCTGAATGAAGAAAATGAATTGCCAATACCAGTAGAAATCACTTTCAAAACTGAAACAGTAATAATTGCATGCCACTACTGAAATGTAAATAAAACGAAAACCTGAAATGCTTTATTTCTCCAGTGAAAGATGCAGCCACGAGCTTCTACGTGATTCAGGAGAGCCTGAGGCATTGATGCTTTAAAGGTTGAGTGAAGCTTCACTTTTCTCAGTCCCTGACAAGCTAACAGAGCGGCACCAAGCCCACTGGCAGTCAGTCCAGTTACATGCAAGATAGTCATGCTGTGCAAGTGGTTAATGCTGGCCAGTGCCATTAGCCCAATATCCGTAACTGAACAATATGATATATTAATCTGCAAATAAATGGACCAGTTAGTTCACTTAAGACGCTGCAGACTTATTTAGCCTTCTTTCATAAAAGGAGAGGAAGTGAGAGAACCTGCTGGAGACTTTGGGAACATTGTGCAAGAGCAAGCATTCCAGCATCATCAATGTTACAGCATTTCTTAATGTCAAGAAGGGTCAGTTTCCTACATCCTTCAGCAATGGCTGATAATCCTCCTGAAGATAGACGAGTACATCCTCGAATTTCAAGTGCTGTCAATCTTAAACATTTTGATAAACATCGCAATGAACTGTCAGTAACTTTCTCACAGTAAGCCATGTTAATCATCTCCAAACCAAGGCAACCATTTGCAACTGCCATAATGCCTACATCGGTAACTGCTGTGCACCTGAAAATAGGGGGGAAAATGTCATTATATTTGAGTAAATTGAAACTTGTCCAGATCAACAATAGGGATCTACAAGAAAGAAGGAGATATGGAGTTATAGATTAGAAACTTTAAATAGGATGGCTAAAGTTTCAAATCCCCCTTCCTTCTCTCCGCTTCATAAATCCCATCTCTCCCCTGTATGTGTGCGCGCTAAAGTTAGGATTTATTCATTTTCCAGAGCAAATACTGGTAAACTGATTCTCTATGACTATTTGTTCTGTAGCAACTAAACCTACTGCAGGCAAGATCACTTCTCACCATACTGTTCAAAATTTTTTCATTTTTTAGGAAGAAGGTCACCAAACGGTAACTCAACATGGTGGAGCGGACAATAAGGTATCAGAAGTTAGTTCTTTGAAACTAGCAAAAGACAGGCTTCTATTATCCCAACAATTAGAAGTACAGAGTAGTGATCAAGATTTCTCAAAAACATTTTCTCCATTTTCATGGAAAAGCATAGAGTAGAAAACTTGCTTACAATTTCATTTCAGATGGTAAAGCAGGAATTAGGACACTGGTTAAACTTACAAGGGTTCTGGTAAAAAAAATTCCATTTATGGAAATTAATGAAAATCTAAATGATGTATCAACATATTGAAGGAGAGATATGGGGGGGTAGTTGATTAAGCAGAAAATACTTTCTTGGGACGTAGATTGTCAAATTAAAATCAAATTACCTACAAAAGATAAAAAATAAAATAAAATTCAGGATCCATGCTTATGCTGGAAAAAAAATGAAAAAGATAATAATCTTTATTGTAAAGTTGCAAACCTGTACAAATCAAGTTGTGTCAGTTTTGGACAGTAAATTCCAACATGAAAAAGTCCGCTATCAGTGATTTTCGTGCATATTCCCATTTTTAAGCTCAAAAGTTTGGAACATCTTGAGATTGCTTTCAACCCTGCGTTAGTGCAAAAGCAGTTAGTCACCATTAGGGATAGTAAACTTAATGAAGATGATGATAGATTTCATGTGGAACCTTCATCATCGACTTCATTATCAGTAATATCCAGCTCCTCCAGCAAAGAGCAACGTTGCCCAATCAATTCAAAAGCATCTTCAGGAATCAAGCTACAAGATTCCATTTTGAGGGAAATAAGGGAGTTACATGAACTTGTTATAATGTCTAAAGAGGCATGAGTTATTTTTCTACAACAAGTTATGTCCAAGTTTTTCAATCCATTGTGCTTCTCCATAATGGAGGAGAGACCCTCATCTGTCACTCCTATGCACTTGCATAAGCTTATCTCCTTTAAGGATACACAACAATCTGCAATAGCTTTCATCCCAGCACATGAGACTTGGCAGCCATCTAATTTAATGCACTGCAGGCCCGGAAAATTGTGCAGGCATTTTGCTAGATCTACTGTAACCTGAACCAAGGTTTGCAAAAAGGGAAAAAAAATTAAGATGAGAGATAACAGAAACACTTGCAATGGAAAATTCACCAATAGAAGTTCTATACTTACATCAAAACCATATGCTAGACTGAGATGGCTTAGGTGTTTCATGCCATTTGTTAGAGAATATAGACCAATGTGGCTGACATTTTGAATGATTGATATATTAAGCATCTGCAACAAATATCAGATGGAATCAATGAATTGCAAGAGAGGATGTAAAAAGGACAAACAGGAACCAAAGAAGGAACCTCTAGTGGTTTGTATCCTTGATTCAGGGTGACAAGACCCTCATCGTCAATACCAGAACATCCCACAAGAACCAATTCCTTGAGTTGTTGAAGCTGCAGGATGGGTGGAAGGCACTTTTCTGTTATCTGTTAAGAAAAAAATCCAGAAGAATGTTAAAAGTTTCTCAAGATAACGACATTTCTTGAAACAATTTCACTATATAAAATAAGTAAACCTATGTTCAAGTTCTTGTGACAATTTGCTGATTAATTTACAGTATAAGGTCACTGAACTCCGATGTCAGAAAACTACAATCTAAGAATTAGGATATAAGCACATCATCCTACACAAAAGAATAGCTTAGCTCTGTGTTAATATTTAGAAACAATGTGAAAGATTGCTTAACTTCCTAAAGTTCAAGATAGAATTTAGAATATGACTGGTTAACTTGCTTAACCAGTCGAATATGACTCATGGTTGCTTAACTTCCTAGATAGAATTTAGAAATTAGAATCCCACAATTGACAGGTGAAGAAAAGTTCAAGATTTACAAAACCTAGGAAATTCTGAGCAGTTAATTTATTGTCAAGATACAAATGCACCCAGGGGCATGATCCGCCAATCGGTAGAGTCTATTTACCAGGACTAGTTAATTTTCCAGGTCAAGGCTAATCAGCTAGCTCAGATATTACCACGAGAGAGAGAGAGAGAGAGAGAGAATTATTTCCTTTTCTGTTGACATCAATGACCACTGTAACGTTTAACGAATAATTGTTTTAAGGACGTCAACTTCAAACTCCCAGTGGTCTAGCTAAGGAGAGAACAAATAACAGCTGACTGCAGCTATGGAAAATATAGTGGGGGAAAAGGAAAAGACTGAAGGAGAAAAGGCAAATTACAGGCAAGTAAGAGAGATCCAGAGAGCGAATATCTCTGCACTTCATAGCAATCAAGCCAACACCGAAATCACTAACTCTTAAGCACCATTTCAAGCAAACCGACTTCAATTTTTTGCAACCAACAGCAATACAGCCAATCCCGATATCTGAAATCAACTTGCACCTAGCCAATGATAGCTTCTCCAAGTTCTTAGCTTCGGCAATAGCTGCAGCAGCCAAGTCTGTTAGCTCTGTTGCATTGGACAAATCCATCTCCACCAAACCTGTACATTTCCCAGCCAAACTCGACAACCCAACGTTACTAAAGAACCTAGACCTCGAAAGGTCAATGGCCCTCAAACTAGTCTTATATACATCAGCTATAGCAAAAAGAGTATCATCCTCGACACGAGGACAACATGTGAAGTCAAGGTGAGATAGATGAGGATATCTTCGGAGAGTACTTGGAATGAGATTAGTTCGTAGAGGTCTTAGAGATCTTCTGTGAATGGATTCAATAGAGTAGAATGATTTGTTAACAAGAGAGAGCGATTTCTTGGCTTGTGGGTCCTCATCGAGGAAATCAAGAACGTTAAATATGATTTCTTCAGTAAGATTTTCAAAAGGGTTGGAGAGATTGGGAGATTGGTGAACTTGTTGCATGGTTCGGGGGTTCTTCATGAGATGATAATCAGGCTCCTGCAGGTAAAAGCTATGTTGCTGATCCAGGAGGAATGGTGGGGGAAAATTTTCTAGCGGTTGAGTATTTTTGGAAGTTTTTGAGAAGTAAATGAACTGGCATTGAATGGGAGCATTAATAAAAAGATTCTGAGATCAATTGTGGGGGTTAGACAGAAAAATTAGTAGAAAAGTTTGGAATGATGATGACCTGAGCTGGGGAAGTTGGTTTCAGTTGACGAAGATGATGTTCTGAAATTACAACGCTGACCTTTCTCAGTTGGATTGGATCTTTGACTATACGAAAAACGAAATTATCTTTTTTCTGGGAGATAATGACATGTTTCGTCCTTAGATATCGTAAAAATATTCTTTTCGTCCCACACTTTTAAAATGAAATAAATTTGTCCCTAACATTTAAAAATTAAAACTATTACATTCCTAAACCTAATTTTCAATCTGAATCTAACCATCCAATAATCCAATAATGAATTTCCAAAATAGAATTGATAGATCATTCGGTCAACTTCATCATATTCACATGACATTTATTAAACTAAAAAAAAATAAAAATTATAACATAAAAGGTCATTCTTTGTCTTGAAATAGTAGAGTTTTTTTTTTGATAAATTTTTTCATGCACCGTTAGTATATCCGCTTGCGAATTTAGATGTGTATCATAAATATAAAATTTTGTGTTTAAATTTAAATTAAAATGATATTGCGGTACATAAAACTGTCAGTATATACAATGATAATGTAGGAAAGATTACTCTTTCTTTTTAATGCTATAATTTTTTATTTTTTATTTTTAGGTTCATTAAATTGCACATGAATATCAAGTTGAGTTAACCAAGTGATATACCAATTACATCCCTAAAATTTGTAATCAGGTTGATTGGTGGTTTGATTCATATTGAAATTTGGGTTCAGGGATGTAATAATTTCAGTTTTTAAATGTCACGGACAAAATTGGTTCATTTTAAAAGTGAGAGACGAAAAGAATATTTTTATAAAATATGAAGGATGAAACTGATCATTTTTCTATTTTTCTTAACCCTTTAATTGGCTGTATTGATGGCATCAAATTAAGGACAACTCTAATCCTTAAGCATCGTATACTCTCTTCTTTTTTTTTTTAAATTAATGTATTGTCTACTAGTACTTGTATAATGTAAAGCGTAAAGTCAGAGCCAGAGGGGGCAAATAAGGAAAATAAACTGAGGGTCAATGAGATCTTAGGCATAGGCGCTTGGCTAATAAAGAAAGATCAACGAGGGGCAGCCAGATGTAGAGGCGGGGTGAATTCAAGGGCAGACCTGGTAAGTATTGCATCGTTGTCATTTGTGCATTTGTACTCCACCTGGGACCTAACGTGACGGCAATCGGGTTGAACAGCCGAGTGAGATGGTGAGAAAGCGAGAACCCCTTTGACCTCTTTCTTTTAGTGGAGCCAAGCCAGAGTCATTCGTGCCTTTGTACTCCAAATTGATTTTGGTCGTATGCTACTAAAGCTTACTCGCCGGAGAGAGTGCAATAGAACGGCAAGGTAGAATTGATTTCTGGTGCTTCTTATTTGAAGAACCAAATATGGCGGATCAAATATAGAGATGAATGAAGTCTCTCCCCATTGCTTCGTCCCCAACAAATCACACGTAATGAATTGGCTGGATACCACTAATATGTGGTTTCTTTAAATCCAAAGAAGTGCATGGTGCATTCATTTGATCTTATGAGCCTGTCCCTTCCCTTCATCCCATCCCCATAAAGTAGGACAAAAAAGAAAAGAAAAGTAAAGAATTGGTTAGATACCACAACATCCTTCCGTAACAGTTAGTCAGTATGTTCCAACAAACCGCTGCGGACTAATTAATATTTTTACAGAAGTAGCGAGACCAGAATTGGAGAAATAGTTACCCGAACAAGCAAAACTGTGATGTAAATCAACAATTCTCATAGAATACATTACATCCAAATATAGAACTATTGCAATTCCTCAGTTTAACCCAAGCAAACGGTGTAAAATGCGCTAAGTCACCTAAGACGTTAGATCAATCATTTTTTCGCATAGCTGATTGCCATAGGATTCTGGGGGGTAATTTTGAAGCCCTGTAGTGCCTGCATGGCAACTGAAGATTGTATATCATCTTCAAATTCTACGAAGGCTATACCTGGTTTTGCCTCGATCATTCGAACTTCCCTAAAACCAGGGTATTGTTTGAAAAGGACATCCAGCATCATGCTTGTTGTCTCGTATGGTAGATTCTGTATGAAGAGTATGTTGTTCGGATCAGTAACGGCTTCTTGAGCACTCGGCCGTCCTGGACGAGAGGAAGCCTGCAAAATTCCTCCAGAGGAAGTGTTAGTGCAACTCCACGAAGACCAAAAACCACAGAAAGATTGAACAGAAGCAAATTTATGAAGAAAACCTCATGAGCTTTCTTCTTTCATTCAACTCTATAGAATGTAAAACTTACATCTACCATCATGGCAAATTAAGCACCCCTCAGTTAGTCTCTAAACCACAGAGCAAAGCTAAAATTTTAGAAAGCATATTTTATTGCCTATGACATCTGTGATTCAAACCCTCAAAAGCCGACCATGAAATTACCCACCCTATTCCTTGAGAACCCCCTATCCCCAAGTAAACACCCATTGGTCATTTGCCACCTTTCCCCCCATCCCCCTAGCCAAAGTGAGAAAACAGAGTATACAAATATTTGCCACAGAAAAAACTAGCCAACGAGGCCAGATCATGTGAAAACAGACCAACAAATCACAGATATAAATGTTTCTTTTGTAGTACAAATAATATAGTGCACAGAGACAAACAATGGGAATCTTATCTAAATCTTCTTCTTCTCCCTTGTATGCATCTAGATGTGTAAAAAGTGAGTGTGTTTGGATAGGAATATTTGAAATATTATTTGGAATAATTACTGTGGCATTTTTTGTGATGTGATGTATGTGAGATAAAAAGGTAATTGGGAAAATAAAAAGGTGTATTGGAAATTATAATGGTGAAGTAAGCAAATAAATTTGGGCAAATAACCTCCTGTCCAAAGTATTAGCAAAAACAAACATATAATTACACAGGTGGTAATTTCATTGTGACTGCAAAGCAAGTTAAGCACATGATGGGGGTAATGTCCTTCTCAGGCCAAGTGCATGAGCATGTTTGCTCTAAAAAGAATGAAGTAACTCAAATGCAGCAACTTACAGCTGGGCCACCATTGCTCTCAGCTCTTGGACCATTAGGAGTAGCATTTTGTTGAGCTTCTTCAACACGTCTCTTTCTTTCAGCTGAATGCAAATACCAATCCAAGCAAAAAATTGATTTAAAAACATCAGAATAGAGAATAACCAACAGATCCATTAGATCATGCATTGGAGAACAAATACATGATGTACCAAAATACCTTTGAACAATGAACATAAATAATTCATAGGTCCATCAAGCAGGAGCCATAACAAAGAGAACTAGCATCTCAGTAAAACTAGTAGAAGTTCATGAGACACTATGGCTTAAGGCCTCCTAGGAGACAAGAAAGTACAACCAAAAAAATCCCCCTCACCAAACTTCTTCACAGTATCTGGGTAAATGCATGAGTATACCCACCACCACCGTCTCATTCAGAGAGAGAGAGAGAGCAAATGCAATGTGAATCATGCTCAAACAAATGGAAAAGTAGGCAGATGATGGATATTCATATCTTTGAATAATTACTGATATGAAAATGAGACGTATGAATAGGAAATTAGAAGGAATAGAAAGCTGGAATTGTAAGATGATTTTACCTTTCTCTTCTTGCTTCTTTTTCTTGTCATAAGTACCCTCGGCTCTAGCAATACAATCTGATTTTGTTTTTGCATACTGGATCCGCTGTAATGCGGAAAAGTTAAATAGTCAATTTCATGCATCCAATTTGCAGAAGGAAGGGAGAAAAAAAAGAGAAACAAAGAGCTAAAGCTTTATCAAAAATCAAATGAAAACAATGGAAGTAAACAGATTGTCTAATGTGGAAGTGAATAGTTGCAAGTTCATTTGATATTCAAGTGAAGAGGAAAAAAAATGCATTTGGGTTTTTCCACAAGTGAAAGGGTTAAACAAGATCCTTGGAACTGTAGCCTTGAATATACCTTCATAATTTACCACCAATTAGGAGATGAACCATTAACATGCAGGCAGCTAGTGTGATAACTCACCATAGGCTTATCGTAAAATGGAAAATTTTGCATCTGGCGCACTGCGTTGCTGGCAGCGGTCACTTCACTAAATACAACCCAAGCCTGCCCTCGAAGTTTGGTTGTTTTCAGGGCAACAATGTCCAGGATCCTCCCATACTGCGAAAACAATGCATACAGAGATCTCTTCAACTCTGTTCAAGAAATATAAGGGAAATGTGGCATCATGTTCAAAATCATCAAAGTAAAGTAAACGAGATTGCAAAGTAGAAGAGAAGGCAGCAATAAGACCAGCTGATGCCTCAGCTCTCAATAGTCAAGACAGCATAACAAGGAGATAATAGGCATACACGAGTCGCTAACTAAAACATTTAGATTTAGCGCAACAAACAGTTGATATCTAGCCTCCTGTGAAATACCCTTTTCGCTCTGGCTGAGAATTATACTTGGTAAGTGTAAGTTGGACTTCTTGATCTTTGGTTTCAAAAGCATAGCCAAAATACATTTTACTGGCCTCCACTGCATCTTTTTACTCTGTTCCAATCCCGCTGGCCTACACAGGGGCAAGGTTTTCGCATCTGCCATCTATGCTACGAAATTTAGTAGGAAGTGGATGGTATGTTTATGACACGTAATGAAGGAGCTTGGTACTAATACGCTGCCACCAAAAAATATATATATATATATATATTTCCCAGCTTTCTATCTTTGTAATGCCAATTAACATGATCATATAGCCCCCATAAGCAAGTAATGGAAAAAACGAACCAATAAGTTGCCTATGCAAAGTAGCCAAAACAAAAATCAAAAGAGAAATCCAGAATTGGGGAAAAAGGTAAATCCAATACGGAATCTAGTGAATGTCCTGGCCAGCAAAACTCCTAAATTTACTAAACAGAAGGACATAATTCCACTAGGTTCAAAGGGGGCTCAAAAATCAAAGAAGAACCAAAGCCCAGCAGTTGGGACAGCTGATTTAACACGAATAACGTAATGCATGTGCTGCCCAAAAAAAGAAAGAAGTTATCTCAAGTAAATCTGATGCACAGATTAGCTTCTAATGCCAACAAAAAAACC